TTCTCCTTTACCCTTTCTCCATCAAATAATATAAAGAGAAAAGTTAGTTTATAAGAATGTGTAAGTAGCATCTAATTTAAGTAAGTGTAGACAATTATAGTAAGTATAGATGGTTTTTAATTTTACCCACCAGTGAATGTCTAATAATATCTCTACATGGCAATAATATTATTATAGCATTATAATATGCTATAATTAACACAAAGTGGAAAACAGTGGCAATTAGGAAGTGCTGATAGGAATGTTTCTATCATTTGTGTGTGAGAATTGGGAAGATAAGGCTGTAAGCCACTGAATGAAAACTAAATATGAGAACGCACACATACAGAAACATAAAAATATTCACTGAAATATGCACACTTCACGTCCATAAAACATACACTGAAGGAAAGAAGCAGAAAGTGGGAGAGGAGAGAAAAACGACAAAGGGGCACAAAGATAGAAAATAAGAAAGGAAGGGCAATGGCAAAAGGGAGAAAGGCAGAAGGTGAAGAGGATAAAGACACACAGGAGAAGGAAGATACTCAGTGTGGTGGTAGGGCAGGAGAAGAAGGAGAAAGAGGTAGGGAGAAAAAAAGAGCAAGATTACACAGCCATCTGGCATACCCTCTGTCTGCAACCTCACTCTACATAACAGTTTGAATGTGACTGGACCCGTCATGCTATTTGGAATTGTTGAGAATTACAAAACTCTGGCACATGTTTTAAGTTCCTCTTTTAAGCACATGTGGCTTAAAACTGAAATGCAAGTGCAAATGCACACCAGAGTTTGAAGATTTCATATGAAAAAAAAAAAAAAAGAATGCAAAATATTTTGGATATACTTGGCTTAAATAAAATATATATTAAAACAATTTTTTTAATGTTAATTTTGAAAGAGAGAAAGCACTCAAGAGGGGAGGGGCAAAGAGAGAGGGAGACACAGAATCTGAAGCAGCTCCAGGCTCTGAGCTGTCAACACAGAGCCGGATGTGGGGCTCGAACTCACGGACTCAGGTCATGACCTGAGCCGAAGTTGGACACTTAATCGACTGAGCCGAGGCGCCCCTAAATTAAATATATTTTTGAAATCAATTTCACTTATTTATTTTCCTTAAAAAATATTTTTTATGTTTATTTTTGAGAGACAGAGACAGAGTGTGAGTGGAGAAGGCAGAGAGAGAGAAAGAGGGAACACAGAATCTGAAGCAGGCTCATGCTCCAAGCTGTCAGCACAGAGCCCGATGTAGGGCTCGAACCCATGAGACATGAGATCATGACCTGAGCTGAAGTCGGACACTCAACCAACTGAGCCACCCAGGGGCCTCTTTTTCCTTTTTTAAAATGTGGCCACTAGAAAATTTTAAATGATACATACAGCTTATGTTATATTCCTGTTGGAACGCACTGTTCTAACACCATGAGTCTCCTCATTAAGTTTGGCAAAGTAAGTATGCTAATATTTGAATTCCAAAAACATCTAGGAACATACCAATATGCTGGACTTTTTCATCAATGACCTCACAGTGGTACGGCCACCGTGTTGGACTCAGTGGACCAGAAGAAGAAACACCATACAAATCTCGTGGTTCACGAAGACGTGGCACCCATCTCCCTAGTTGATATTCCAACAGTATCTGGGTAGTCCGGGGGAAAAATGGGTCACCAACAGAGTTAGCTGAAAAAAGATTCAACACAATCATGAGTGATAAGAAGCAAAGCCCCAATTTCTATAATTTTTTAATACATTCCTTTTTCCCTCCCAATACCATTAATTTCTAAATATCTGTGGATATTATAATTCATGGCACTTAAAAAATAAAATTACTGGGGCACCTGGGTGGCTCAGTCGGTTAAGCTTCCAACGCATGATTTTGGCTCAGGTCATGATCTCATGGTTATGAGATGGAGACCTGAGTCGGCCTATGCTTAAGATTCTATCCCTCTCCCTCTGCCCATCCCTTGTTCCCTCTCTCTCTAAAAAATAAAAAAAAAAATAAATAAAAATTACTATTGAAATTTTGTAACAATTGATCTTTACAATAGCTAAAAAGTAGTTTTTGACCTCAGATACTATTATTTTATGCTAAATTCCGTGCTACTCCAAAAACATTTATTTCTCGCAATTATTCTAGCAAACTGTTTACTGCCGAGTCTTCTTAAACTTAATCACACTGAGGTGACGATTTGTCCACGATCATAATTCCTCACCGCCTACTGGAAGAATATTCTCAAGGGTTGCTAGTGAACTCTGTCACAAATTTTTCTCAGTGCTCATTCTAGGGTCACTGTGTGACACAACCCCAAAGCACATAATTCACAAAGAATACAACACAAGTAGGCAGCGCAGAGGCCCTGTCTCTTTCAATGGGATAACTGTGGGGCATCAATTTGATGTGGATAATCACCCCTCATGTACCTTGTCTTTTATGATGCTATACTTTCCTGTTTTCTCCCTTTCACATATTTCGTTTTCCATTTGTCTGACTCCTCTTGCTCTCCTACCTCTAAAATGTGGTTTTTTACCTAGATTTAGTTTTGGGCTATTTTTGTACAATAACAGATATATCAAGCTGGACTAGATGTCAGACCAACTGAGTTCTATTCCACCACTTTGTTTCTATATGATTTTTCTTGGCTAATGCAGCCTCTCTGAACATAAATTTTACTATATGTAAATAAGGAATAATAATACTCCCTGCTACTTCTCAGGATTGTTATTTAGATCCATTTTTTCAACAGTTATTAAGCATCTAGTTTTTCATTATGTGAAGAGACCACATTTTGTCTAATTTACAGTATGACTCAAAATGGCAAGGTAGCTATGAATTAGGAAATAAAATTAGATCAATATCTCATACTGCTCATGAGTGTAAATTATAGAGAAATTAAATACAAAATTCAAAGTATTTAGAGAAAACTTATATGATTATAATAATGACGTTGGGGTAGGGAAAGCCTCTGTAGCTTAAACAGATTTAAAAATAAAGAGCCACAAATGAATAATGATAAACTTAACATCAAAATAATTCAAAGTCATGGAAGCAACATTAACAAATGATTACTATAACAGGGAATTCATTATAAGAGGAAACAAATAGACAAGCCTATGGAATAATTCTCAATTTCTTCAGCAATAAAGACGACACTGGTTAGAACAGTGAGTTACCTCCCTTTTTCCAACAGATTGGCAAAATTTTAAAAAGCAAAAAAGGGTGGCAAGATGTCCATAAACTAGTACTACAAATATTTTATGAGTATGGGCATAGATATGTGTGTAAGTGCAAAGAAAAAGGTCTAGAGGGATACATACCAAACTGAGAATAGTAGGCATCTCGAAAGACTTTTACGATAGAAAGAGAGAGAGAGAGAAGAAAAAAGAAAAGAATTAAGGCCTTATCTTCAATTTCAGATCCTCTGTGATAGATATGTGGATATTTAGAAGAAATATTTTATTTTAAAACTCTAAATGTATACATTTTTTAAAAATCAAGCATACACAAAGATTCCACATATATGTACTTTTGCAAGTGAATGACTTTATTAAAAAAACTCTGTACAAGCATACTTCATTTAAAAAAAGATGTATTGTAGGGGCGCCTGGGTGGCTCAGTCAGTTAAGCGTCGGACTTCGGCTCAGGTCATGATCTCACAGTTCGTGGGTTCGAGCCCCACATCGGGCTCTGTGCTGACAGCTCAGAACCTGGAGCCTGTTTCAGATTCTGTGTCTCCCTCTCTCTCTGCCCCTCCCCCCACTCACGCTCTGCTCTGTCTCTGTGTCTCAAAAATAAATAAACATTAAAAAAAATAAAAATGTACTTTAAAAACACTGTGTACTGTAACTCGAGTCATACTGTAAATTTAAGAGCTAATTATTTAAAGAAATGCCTATGTAAATCTTTATGTTAAGGGTAGTCCTTCATATTTATTCAGTTTCATTCAATATCAGGTTTACCTAAAACCTTCACAGTTTGAGCTCCAAAAGATTCTTATAAGAGTGGATACATTTTCTATCCTTATCCAGTATCAGAATACATTCCTATATTATTCAATCTTTTTTTTCTAGTTTCTTCATTTTCTTCTTTTTCATGGACCTTGAGTGAATTTTTCATTTGCTATTTATTCACTCAAGGTTTTATCATAAAGGGAAGGAAGAAAATATGGATAAGTTCAAACCTGTTAAAAGTGCACACTGGTGGATATCTTCACTTATAAATCTCATGAAGTTATCCTCATCCTAAAACAAAAAGAGTTTTAAAATATTCTTTTAAAATATTCTTTTAAAAACCAACAGCTTCCAAATCCAGAAAATTTTTACATCTATTTTAGTAGTGAGAATTGAGTGCCTCTTTTTAATCTTTAATAAATGAAAAAAATTAAAGGATTATTAGGGACTACCGGTCTCAAAGTGCCAAACACTTCAAATATCCTCAAACCTTCCAGCCTTTATCTTTCATCCTCCTTCTTTCATTGGGTAAGGTCAGATTAATGATTGCAGGGAGGGAATAAAGTTTAAAGATTCTTGGTAAACTTGGCAACCCAATTTAAACTATGAATAAAGTTTAAAGAAAAGAAGCACAAAAAGCCATAGACTTAGAGGGTTAATAGGGAGCTTATTTTGGGACCTTAACTTAGATACATGGTAATTTATATTTTACTCAAATGTGAAGGAAATCTCTCAGATATATGTACTAGAACCAGGCAAACTCTTTTGAAATACTGTGCTTTGTTTTTCCCTTTTTCTTCTTCTTCCGTGTCCCTTTGTTACATCAGAGCCAAATTAAACCTATTATGGTGACAAACAGTAGATTTAGAACATAGGAGGCTGCAGTATTATGATAAATATTATGATGTAACACAGACGTAAGTGAAGAAGAGTTATAAAAATAAAACCTTAGTAATGATTTTATACACACTTTTAAGTAAAACTCAGAAGAATCTTAGCCAAAATATTTTCTAAACAACAATACCAATCCAGGTTCTCTTTCTAGACAGGGCATACTGCACACAGCAATATCTTGGCTTTCAAATTATTTTCCAACTTCAGTGACAAGTGATTTAAACATCGAGTTGATTTTCACATCCAACTGATTTTGTAATATTTTTACCGGGAAATTTATATTTTATAACATAAGGTTTATCTGAAATTAAGTGGAATGAAGTTGAGAAAAACATACTGATTCATCTTCATCACTGATCGTTCTGTCTGAATAGTCTTCCTTTTCTGAATCTTCTGACATTTCTGGCAATATCTGGCTTGAAATTTCTTTTATCATGTAGGTAGGCTGTAAAACAATTTCTAGGGAACTTATTTGACAGTTTTCTGTTTAAGTTGAAGGTGTTTATTACATTAAATGAGTACCCCAACCTTTTATTCAATTGTATTTAATTAACAGTGACAACAGGCTTCTCTAAAAGCTATATTAGGACACAGCTAATTAGACATTCAATTTCAAAAAACTGAAGACATTTTCCATTTCCATGAAAAAGAGGCAAAAATCACAAGGAAAGGCTAATCAAGTAAATAATGTATTGGAAAAAGAAATTTCCAGGCTACACGGCCAAATCATTCACATCCTGTATTCCCAATACCGCACAGCATAGTAAATTCGGAATGATCCTGAGGCATTTAAAAAGATCATGGCTCAAAAATAAATAAATAAATAAATAAATAAGTAAAGTAAAAAGAAAAAAATAAAAAGATCATGGGTCAAAGGAACATTATAGTTACTCAGGCAATGATATCTAACAGCATAGCTTAAAAAATTTTTTTCTGCTTTAGTTTTCAATTGACCAAAAGTTCAAATGACTACAACAGACTTTTCTCCTTAGATTTTGGTTACTATTCTGTAAGATACTGTCTCTGTTCTAATATTCGATTATTCTTACTTAAATCTCAATAGCTTTCCGAAGGTTGTTTTGGCGGTGACCACTACTCCTTCCATGCAAACATCCTCCCAAGGGGTTAAGCCAACGGAATACCAAATTCCTTGCCAAGACTCTATTCTTTTCGAGAGACCAAAGGAATCTGCCAATTTCGAATCTATTGGTTTATGCTCCTCTCTACAGAGAGCAAATAACTCATGCAATAGAGATGACACCTTCAGTATTAAGAGACTGAAGTTTCAGCCTGGGGGGATCGTCACAATTCCAAATTTGGAAAACGTGGCATAAATCCTGGCTCTATTTCCTAACATGGACATAGGAGGCACACCAACGTGCTGACCTGAGTAGTGAAACCTGAATTTCAGGAAAGACACACACACACACACACACACACACACACACACACACACACACATATTATCTAATGGGCGCTTCCTGTGTCTTCCACGGCTGAAGCAGACGAGGCAAAAGCAGGCGTTTCCACGCCCAGCCACGCAGGGCGGGTCTGCGGACAGGCACAGTGACTTTCTCAGTGGGAAGGACTTTTAAGCCCCAAGTTGTGTCTGCAAGGGGTGCCTCCCACGCTCACTTCTGGACCAGGCAGTGTGGGGAGGAGCTCATTTTCTGGGACGCGCGGTCTTTCCACGCGCGCTCACTTCCCGCAGGGGGCGGCCCGTCTGCGAAGTCTCTTCCTTCTGGGCCGCCTCGGCCGGGCCCTCGCCCCCGCCCCGAGTCCTCCGCCCAGGCCAGTCGTCCAGTCCCTGCGGGGCACAGCCGTTCCGCCCGAGACACCTAGGGTCCAGCGTCTGGAAGGAACGCTGGGATAGTTCAACAGCTCCAGCCACGCCCTTCACCGAGAGGCGAGGCCCTCCGTTTCCTGAGCAACGGGACCACCCTCGCGAGACTTCCGAGCGCCCTCGGGAATCACCTAGCGACCGGCGCGGAGAAGAGCCCACGCGGGATTTCGGCCGAGGAAGGGGAGAACCCAGAGGATGACTGGAACGAGGGGCCGAGGAGACGGGGGCGGAGAGAGTCCCCAAGTGCGCTAGCGTGGAGCCACTTACCTGGAGGGGGGGAAACGTAGGAGAGGAGAGGAGCGGGCAGCGATTTGTCCCTTCGCTTCTCCGCGTCGATTGTCCTTTAGCCAAGGAGGCAGTAGAACGTACTGGTTAAGACTTGATCCTTGTTAGTCTTTATTTGCACCCACACAGAACTGCATTCTGCGCGATTGTGTGACTAGTAATCTTTATTCAGGAAACGAGACTTCTCTCTAAATACTTGGTAGAGGAGTGATAGATATACTAGGGTGAACTCTAAATTCTTCCCAGCTCAGAGATTCTTTAAGTATCATAATTGTTAGCAAACACATCGAGCACTTCGGACCTTCTGAGACGCCACGCACATCACTTTATGTGCATGGTTTTTTCTAATTAAATGGGGTCTTTCCATAACAGACTTAGACACCCTGGTCCATAAGAGACTTGAAGACCTTATTCCTGAAATCACCTTGATTTCCCCCTGGTCTAAACCGTTGTCCCAGTGTAGCTGAAAAAAAGTCTTAAGATGTTTGGAAACATTTTTACTCTTTTTAAGTTCTTTTGGCTGGTATATTAATACGAGAAAAATAAGTTTAATTTCTTCCACATGGGCACCTTACATTGGCATGAGAGGCTCCAAGATGGGCACCTGAGGCTCATATGCCATCCTGAACTAAGGAGAGAGTGGAGTCTGGGGCGTCAAAGGGCAGGAAGACAATTCATAGGAAGATGGGAAGAGCAAATGTTTGGTAAACAAATGTTTACCTGCCTTTGCCACGCAGAGACAATGGGACACAGAGAGGAATTGAACATGCCCTGCCAAGCTCCCTCCAACTTACTACCCCTAGCGCATGCTTTCTGCAGTTATCTCTGGTGATGGCTGTTTTCCTGGACCGGGCACTCTATAAAAAGCTGCTCCTGAGCCTTTGGGCCTACACTGTCTTCAGCTCAAAATAATCTGCAGGCCAAGTGGCATGCAGGTGGTGGATGCTTGCCCTGAACCCCATCAGGTGCCTTGTTGCACCTTGTTTAACGCCCTACGTATGTAACTGAAGGTGACCTGTGCAAAGAATATTTAAATACGGACTCTATTTTTCTGTTGGACTTTAGAGTCATGGTTGCAAGCCATTGAGTGTCAGATAAACAAGGTGAAGAAGCCCCAAGAAATGGTCTAACCAGGGGACACAGGAAACTAAAGGCAGAGCAGCGACTTAAGTCTCATGATTTTTAGTCCAAATATTTACGTGATCATATTTGAAGTAATCCTATCGATGAACATTATTTTAGCGCGTAAATAAATGTTGAGGAATTTAAAAAACTTTGAAAATCGTAATCATTTATTCTTTCATTCATTCAACTAATTTTTATTGAAACCCCCCTACTAGTCAGGGATTGTTGCTGTGTGAGGCTGTTGCAGGAAACCAAACAGACATTCCTCATGGAGGTTATGGGAGAAGACAGGCAAACCAATTAAAAACACTCCCTCAGGTGATGATAACTGCTATGGAGAGAAATAAAAGCAGGGAAAAATAAAGAGCACCGGAAGTACTCTGGGTGGGTGGGCCTTGGTAGGGGTAGCTCGCTCTCTCTCTCTCTCTCTCTCTCTCATAAACTCCACACTCAACGTGGGGCTCAAACTCAGGACCATGAGATCAAGAGTCACATGCTCTGAGCCAGCCAGGTGTCCTAGGGTAGTCGATAGGGTGTCCAGGAAGCTTCTGTAACCAGGAGTCATTTGAGCAGAGACCAAAAGCAGAGGGATGAGCCGGACTGATGTCCAGAGAGGACCTTGCCAGGTAGGGAAAGTGGCAAGGACAAAGGCTCTGAGACAAGACAGGGTTAAGAATTACACTAGGCAGTCCTGTTGAGGTGAAACATAGCTGGAGCCAGTATCATTATCAGGAAAGAGGTTTCATTAGGGTTTCTTAAGTAAATTTTAAATGGTTTTAACTACCTGCTTCTTTTTAACTTTTTTTTTTTTTTTTTTTTTTTTTTTTTTTTTTTTTTTTTTTTTTTTACTTTATTTCAGATGGTAGTATACAGTGAAATTCCTTAAGTAGAATGAAATTAAGGCCTGGAGGGAGCTTCTACTAAGGACGTTCTGTCAGCCTGAAATTTTGTTCCCGTTTCCTATAATCTTGAGAAGCTCACAGGGCGGACTCCTTATATAGACAACTTTGGCTTCTTGGCAAGGCAACTTGACTCCTGCACCAACTTCCCCTCCTCCTGTTTTCTGGTGAATTTATCTACTCTAAGCCTGCAGTATAAAAGGCACTATAACGAGAGCAAGAAAAGAGGAAAAGAAAAACTAAAACAATACTCTAAAGAGCACAATTACTAGTGTGGGAATCAGGAGGAAAATTCTCTTTAGCAACATGCCCAAATGTAAGTTGTGTTAGGACTGTAACTTATTTTGTGTAAGTTTATCACTTTGAATTTGTTGAGCAGAGACTTAAATGCAGTGACTAGGGCAATCAGGAGGTATTTGTGACATCACAGAAGTTATCGGTTATATGGCTGTAAAGGTCTTGTCACAGTTTGGCTGAGGAAGCCATACTAAGTCCTGAGAGCCCTGGGGTGCTCAAGTACCCATCTTGGCTTTCCTCAGAGGATCTGGGTTTAGAATGTCCTGCTATAGGGCCAAACTTCTCAAACTGTTTCCAAGCTCAAACCTTGAGATCCGTCCCAGGTGATTAACTAACCAAGACTCAGCTCAAGTGTCATCCCCATAGTGAAGTCCTTCCTAATCTCTCTATCACTGGTTCAGTTAGTTTGTATTATTAGTTTGTATAATGTGTCTAAATCTGGAGACTATAGTGAAGCATTATTCTCCTAAACACTTGGAAATGAGGCTAGTAAGTAAGAATGCCCCCTGCCTGCTCAACAAATCATGGATAGGATGAATCACCTCAAAAGAGAAGGAATGGTTCCCATGCTGAGTGTGAAGTCTCAGGACAAAAACCATGAAATGGTTCCCCACACCCACACCCGACGATAACTGCCTCTGAACTGTGCAGTGGAAAAATCCCGTTTTCCACGGAGGATGTGTTGCCACAGTCCAAAACTTGCTAGCCACTTTCAGCTACTAAAACAGTTTCATTTTGGTATTTAAGATTTTTATTCTGACATTTAGTGTTAAGCACGTTTTAAATGTCAGTTTCAAACTGGAATCAAATCTTCCTCCTCCTCACCCTTCCCCCCCCCCCCCCCCCCCCCCCCCCCCACCAGCCCTGGCAGCCTAGATCTATCCCTACCTCTGATGTCTTGGGAAGTGGGAATGAGTTGGTGTTTTCCTATTTACATTCATCCTGGCTTCCTTCCACGTGCCAGGTCCTTGTGTTAGAATGAGCAGG